GGTGGGTGGGATGGGTGCGTGGTTTGTCGTTTTTCTCTCCGTTCGCGCGCGGCTTCGAGGCACAGCTCTCGTCGTTGCCACAGCATGTCGTTCCTCGCACCGTGCCCACGGCACAAGCCGACCGAGATCGCGCCCCCCGACGGCTGCCGTGTGCCTCACAGTGCGCTCAACAAGTCGTCCAAGGGCGGACAGCTGTTACGCTCGACGAGTGCTACACCGCTCCCACACCAGCTCGAGTGGTTCAAGCGCGAGGCGACCCTCGTCTCCCACCGCCACCCCACATGCCACACCCCGACCCGAGAAAGAGAAAAGCGCGTGAGAAAGACGGCACGCACAGCCTGGGGGTGCCAGCCGCCCACCATGCCTCTGCTGTGCCTCTGAGACATCGTGCGGGGGGTGGAAAACGCGCGCACACATGTTTTGGCGCTTGGTTGGCGGTGTGAATTGCCAAAGCTTTTTTCCTGCTGGCTCTTCGCCCGCCACCCTCGTGCTTCTCGAAATATCCGGGCGGTGCCCTAGAGTCGGGCGGTACGAAACACCTTTGTGCGGTACGGGAAGATGCGCTCGCGGCCCGAAATTCGCTGCGAGAAGGGGTTTTACCGTGGCAAATGCGAACCCGAATCCAAACCCCCGGCCCCGGAAACGTGTGCGCTGGTTCCCCCCCCCCTTCCCCCCCCCCCCCCCACCACCACCACCACGCCCGCCTCCTGCAACGGTGATGTCGGATATTGACGGCTCCCATTGCGCGGCACTGCGCTCGCCCGCAGACGCTAGTCCCAGATGCTCACCCATACGCACACGTAACTGACCGCCGCTTCGCGCCCTCCGTGTGCAGGTGCGCAGGGCGGCTGTGAGTGGGAGGGCGAAGGTGCCACCCCTCCCCCGCACCCTCGCCTGTGCCCCTGCACCCGCCTTGCGTGCCCTCATGACGCTTTATCTCCCACGGGTTCATGCAACCCCTCGCGTCCGTGACTTCATTGCGTTTTACGACTGGCTCAGCTTCAGGCCTGATCGCTTAGCCACCCTGCAGCTTCCAGTTGCGCACCGCCCTGCGCAGCTCTGGGCAGCCTTCTCCTCCGCCACCCGCACCAAGCTGAGGCGCGCGCCCCCGCCCTCTCCACGTACGCCCACCGTGCATCCCCCCCGTATGTAGCCGAGGTCCAGCTTTGGGACCTCGGCGCCGGCCGCTCGCGCTGAGCACGACGGTGGCCGAGCCGTTTGGATCACTACGTTTCCATCGCGCACTTGGAGCACTTGGAGTGCAGTTATCAACCTCACATCCAGGGCCGGGGAGCTCAGAAGCGCACCCAGCGGGCCGGATGATCGGGATCGGGTTACGGGCTAGAGAGCCCTAGCCCCGGGGGTGCGCGTTCGCAGGGCAAGGGCC